GCCAGGTGTGGCGCACGGAGCAGGAGGAATAGACCGTTTATTATCCGCCGCTGCTACCGTGACGAGAGGGGGAGAGGGGAGTGAGAGGTTTCGACGAGGCTTTTATTGTGTAAATGTCTGATTTGTGATAATGAAACGGCCAACAACAAGGAAACTCCAACAACCAACACCTCAACTCAGCCAACAAGTCCAGAAACTCCAGCCAAGTTTCACTTGTGTTGATCATTTAAGACATGATGATGATGCACATTTGAAAAAGCTGAAGAAAGGGTAAATATTTTTAAAAGAAAAAGCTCAACAGACCAAAAAGGCAAAAGTGATTGGAGCAGCAAAAATAAAAAAAGGTCAAAAGAAGAAAAATGATTACAATACCAAAAGGCCAAAATATGAAAGAACCAAAACAAGACCGAAAAGAAGCACAGTTAGAAAGTCACAAAAAAGAAAAGCCAAAGCCAGAGTAATTTATAGATTCTTTTTAATTAAAATTCTAATTAAAAAGTTATTTGCTGTCATTAAGGTTGTGAAGAAGCTTTTATTAGTTCAGCAGTTTCAAGGTTTAGACATATATTTATATAAAAACAACTTGGGAAGATTTAACAACCCAAAACTTTGTGTGAGAACCAAAAACAAGAATGAACTAAAAATTCAACAATAGAAATATATATATACGTATATAAATTAAGTAATTTTATTGCTGAGCCAAAAGCATTTTCCACAAATTATTATTATTATTTTTGTGGTCAACTGAACTGAATTGTATCAGATAACAGTATCATCAGCAAACATTCAGAGAGCTGTACCTGTCACCTATATTCTTTATAAATAAAATGTATTTGTTGGATCAAGGTTAAGGTTTAAGGCACATCTCTTTCTGTGTGGGAAATGTTTTCGACAAGAATGTAGTGGTACAGGTATCTACTGACAGCAGCTGAGTGACTGTTCTACCTTTGATTGGTAGGATTGCACTTTAACCCAGCTGGCAACGTAAAACCTCCAAGACAAAACACTCAAAGTTTTCCACCAGTCTGTAAAATATAAAGAAGTCTCTCTGTTTCTGAGAGGTGAAATGTCTCCCTGCAGATCCAGTCATGGTTCTTAAACCTCATGGTACCAATGGAAAGGCGACGGCTTAACAGCTACAGTGAAGGGTCATAGCATCATTTATGTTGATTCAATTTTTTGATATATTTAAAAAAATAATTTCACATTAGACATAAAAAGCATGAATAAACCTGACTTGTACAATAGTATTGAATGCCAAACAACAAGGCATTATTTTACACAGAACAGTTGAATAAAAAACACAGTTCTATATAATCTGACTTACACTCATGTACAATCTTTAATTCGTCTCTGTGTTCTGTTGTCTTTTATCAAAAACATTTCAAGATCCTACCCATTTTCTGTCAACTTGCTCTCTAACTTGTTTTGACTACTTTTAAACTTGGTCACACAAAGCAGCCGTTGGTGGAAGTATGACAGGTATGTGAACTGACTGTCATTGTGACACAGCACATCACTGCACACAACCAAATGTGACCTTTTTTTTAACCCATCACTAAACTGAACAGTGGGCAGATTTAAGTGCCCGGGGAGCAGCGTACCTCAGAGCACCTCAGTGGTAACTTGGCAGCCGGTGGACTCGAACCTGAAGCCTCAACCACTAAGCCACCACTGCCCCACTAGAAGAGTCCCGTGCACCTGCTGACTCACAGCAGGTGTCAGATGTCTTCAGGACATGTGGCCATGGCAGAGCAGATGTGTGATGACAACAAGAACAAAGTGTCCAACTGAGTATTAATACTTGAACTGACAATTTGGTGGATTTTAGTCTATTTAAAAAATAGTATCACAACATTACTTCTGCTTTTGTGGCTTTGATTTAAAAAAAAATAAACAGCAATTTATGACAACTTGAAACTATCTCTTCAATGAAGGTCAGAAATATAATTTTGATCGAAAGTTCTTTAATTGTATTCATCTCTGTAAGGTTTTGTGTTGAACGATCGGTGCTCAGTATTAGTGAAATATAATGAACTCTCAGGGGTTTTACTTTTTATAGGTTTTCCTAGTTTGTCTAGGAACAGTCACAGAGGGTTCAGGATGATGTTTATTTCTAATCATATCCACTAGATGGTAGTATTACACCTTTTTAGGTACAAGTTGGTACTTATGAAAACTCCTATTGTAAATTCCTTTAAATATCCTGCCATTATTAAAGTATTTTTTAAATCTTTATCTTACAGTAAGTTTTCTTTTGGCTGTATTCCTTATGATACCCTGCTTTTAAAAAGTCTCGCGTAATGTGTTGAAATGTGGAAAAACGAGTTAATTTTCCAAATATACGTAGATTATTTGAGACAACCCCTCACTATCTTTGCATATTATATTTAATTACAATTAGGTTAATTAAGTTTTTGGCAAATAAAAATGCCTTGTATTTGAGTCTACCTTTGATCTAATCTAGGTTTAACCAATGAGCTAACGATTTGGTAGTTTGTAGAATTTAAACAAATTCTAGATTAACAGTTATTCATTCATGCTTAACATCTCTCGCTCTCTCTTTACCGAGTGGCATTTTTATTTTTGCCTTTTGTATAACTTTTAGGCAAAATAGCACAGAGTTAGACCAACTCTGTGCTATTTTTAATGTGTTTAGCCTGACCGGAAGTTGGCCTCTCATTGACAGGAAGCTGTCAGCAGTGTTGTTGTTGCTAGTGGGGACTGTTGTGTTGTGAAAATGGCGACGCCTCGTCGCTCCTCTCAGCAACAGCAGCAGCAACAACAGCAGCATCAGCCCAGCTCCCTGCTGTCTTCCCCGCCCCGCAGCTCTTCTATCCCCTTCACTCCTCCCGGTTCTCCTCCTGCATCCACCGACGATGCTTCACTCCCTCCCCGAGGAAGTGGAGCGGAGAGCGTCGCTGACGGTGAGGCGAACCCGGCCTCTCCCACAACCAGCACATCTCCATCTCTGGCCCTCAGTGCCAACAGCAGCAGCAGCAGCACCAGCGCCAGTACCCGCAGCAGTAGCGCCAGCTCTCCGACCACCACCGAGGGGAGCGCGACCAGTCCTGGATCAACACCCGAATCAGGCAGCAGTAATCCGGCCAGCTGCGGCATCGGTGTCATTGGTGCAAACGGAGCTTTCAGGGAACTGTTTGAAGCCTGCAGGAACGGGGACGTTTCCAGGGTAAAGAAACTGGTGGATGCGGTGAATGTAAACGCCAAAGACATGGCAGGACGCAAATCCACACCACTGCATTTCGCAGCAGGTAATGTCACAACTCTATACTGCAATGTTAACCAGATGTATTCATACTTTTGCAGTTGTTGTCGACTTGAGGATGCGTAGGGAGTGACATGTGGTTGTAGGAGTGACCAGACACTGAGGCGAGACACAATGTCATTAGTTAGTCACAATGAAAAGATCTGACAGCTCTGACAAGAACAAATATTAATGGACATGACGAGATGTAATATACTGTGTAAAGATGCGGATTTACCTTCAAACCTATATATATATATATAAATGTACTTAGAGCATTATTTTAGTTGTTAATTGCTAATGTGTGTGCAATGGGTACAGGATAAATAACAATGGGTTCTATTCTAATAGAATAATCTACATATATATGTATATATGGATATAAATGTATTACATGTTTCACATCTCCAGTAAATACAACTATATATATATATATATGTGACGAATTTAGATATTTTTCAAACCCCTAATACAACTAAAGTCGCAGAACTGGTACCATGTGATACAACACAGGGGTTGTGTTTTGCCCAGGATACCATCATCGGCATACAGCTGTATCCAGTTCCAAACCTTTGTGCTTACATAAAATACTCTTGGAATATTGTAACGTTTATGTCATTTGAACATGACAAATGTAATATAATGAATATTGATAAAGCAAAGTATTCTTGCTGCATTCAGTTAGCGATGTTCCTCCTTTTCCAACCTTTTATTACAAATGTGGTTACTTGATCTAAAATCACTTACAGCAACAGTCCAGTTACCTGTCATTATTATTTCCCATTTCTTTGAGCAGTTTCATTTACCTATTCTTTGAGTGGAGTGGCTTTGATAAACACACACTTCTGTAAACATAATGACCAAGTGGCTCTACACAATAGAACACTCTGTGCATAGTGTATACTCCATTAAGAAGTACACAATAGAACACTCTTTATAACACTGTGCATAGTGTATACTCCATTAAGAAGCCGAGCTCAGCAACCAATTTGAAGCCCTTGAACAGGTTAATGGAAGCTGCCTTTTATTTGTATTATCAGTACTTTGGCCTTGTAGCACAATCAGACAGAAGTAATAAATAATTCAAACCTGAGTATTTATTTCTCTCTTGACTCATGCAGCAGCCATTGTGTCATTTTCTCTCTCTAAATTTCACTTGTAATGCTTTAAAAGCCCAGTGAGTAAAAACAAATATCTCAAGCTGAAGGATTATATGTGTATATGTATGTATATACACATATATACATTTATATATTTATAGATATAAGAATATATATATATACAGTATATATACGTATATATATAGAGAGAGATAATATCAAATATATTATTATTATTATAAAATAATGCTATAATTTGCTCGGTAGATTTGTACACAGGTGCATTTGTACACAATATATAGTCCCAATATATAATTATAATCACGTCTTTTGCACAGAATGTACAAAGAACAGCAAGTATATCATGCACAACAGGCTACTCAGCTCTTGTATGTACATAATGCCTTCTGTCTCGTCTCCAAAGTGGAAAATTTACTGTAACGCTTGTAAAATAATACAGGACATCTGTATAATTTCTCTTGGTCCAGATTGTCGTTGTTGGACTTTCATTAGTCTAGAGGGGCTAAAACACCACAGCTGTTTTATATCTCTGTTCCTTCTAATCCTCAGCAACCTGAACAGAAACAGATTCTCACTAATCCTGTGATGTGTTTTCAGTGACGTTAGAACATGCATCACGTGACCAGCACTTTCCACCATCACTGTGATCCCGCTTCACAGAAGAAAATGACAAAAAAAAAAAGTCAATAGTTTAGGAAAGAGGAGAAAGAGAATAAATTCATTCAATCATTGAAATTAATCCTTTGGTTTTTTTTCTCAGGCTTTGGACGAAAAGATGTTGTCGATCACTTACTTCAGACGGGCGCCAATGTCCACGCACGGGACGATGGGGGTCTAATCCCGCTTCACAACGCCTGCTCTTTTGGTCACTCTGAGGTGAGAGATGACTAATTCACATACATACATATGTCACTATATGTTTATATGTATGTGTGTTATGTATTCATGTACACACATATATTTTTGTAATGGTCTGGTAAACTGTTTCTGGCATAGTTGATCTTTACAAAGTTTTAAATCACGTGCCAAACTCAGGCCCAGGGGCCAAATCTGGTTCACAGTGTAATTGCAATTGGCCCGTGAGATCATATCAAATGTATACAAGAGTTGGCCCCTCAGTATATAGCCGCCATATACTAGCAGGATTTGTAGTATTAGCAGTGTATGCTCTACTGTTTTTTTTTTGTCGTTGGCCTGTGAAAAAAAGATTTACATTAAAAAAGAACTTGAAAGGCTACAGATATAGAGACATAATAAGAAACAGATACTACTGATGTGGGTTTTATTTCAAATTTAATTTCACATGTGTTTATAATATTGTGGTTGTTCCAGATTCAGTGTTAATGCAAAACTAATGTTTGTTTCCACATGAAACAATTCTACATTACATATCTGGAGAGAAGGGAAAACATGCATAATTGCCGTCAATTTTTCGATAAATATTAAGTGACTTCGTCCCAGTTTTTAATTTTGGCCCACTGTGAATTTGAGTTTGACACCCCTGATTTAGATGATCTTCATAAAGTTTAAAATGATCTTAACAAAGTTGTAAATGATCTTTAGAAAGTTCTGGATGATCTTCTTTGTCCTAAATGTTCACCACACTGTTAGCTACAGTTAGTTACAGTTTCACTCTTTTTAGAGGCTTTTACGGGTGTCTTTCCACAGCACTTAACGTCGTCATCAGTGAAGTGTTATGCTAATATTCTGATATAGGAGTAAAGAAAACCTCCAACCTGAAAGTGGTATCTCAGTGACTAACTCCACATCTTCACTTCCTAAAGTGGTTGTTGCCTTGAGGGATTCTGCACATTTAAACTCTAAATTGAATGTCTTGATGTGTGTGCAAAGCCTTGAGTGGAAAAGTGGAAAAAAAGATTAAATCCTAAGTTCAAGTAGTGAGCTGCAGAGGGTCACGGTGAGGGAGATCATATTTTCTACAGCCATCAGAAATATGTCTAAACTTGTTGCATTGAAAGTCTTTGGCTAAAATATGTTCAGTTGTTCTGTGTTCGGACTAGCCTTGTGCAATATCATATCTTGTGCGATTAATCCTCAAAAAACGAGATAAAAAAAAGAGAATATTTGTCTCTTTGCAATTGCTATGATTAGTGCCGCTTGATTAGGGTTTCCCACTGTCCCTTGAAAAACGGAATCTCCCGTGTTCAGAAACATAAAACCACATCCTGTTGAGTGGAAAAGGGTCACACTTTGTCCTGTATTACCGTGAGAATGAACAATAACCTGTTAATTGTCAGCTGAATTAATAAAAAGCAGGGAGCTTCATATTGCAACAATGCATTTTACCAAAAATATTTCTCCACAAGAATAGCAACACCTACATTGCATACACACACCTCACATACTAGAAAACCCCACACTATTATTGTTTAATCTTCTCTTTATTGTTTAATCTTCTCTTTATGACAATGTGTTTTGAGCAGGTGTATACATGCATTTTTCAATAACATATTTTCCAAAATTAAAAAAACATTATATAGTTAGCATTTTTAAAGTTAATAATAAAAGTTAGCCAAAAGATTATTACATTTTCACCTGGAATTAGCCCTTAATCAGCCTTATTTGAACTTAGTGGATATAAAACAGACAAAAAAACCCAAAAACAATAAATACATTTCAATGAATTTAATGAAATAGCTTGATGCCAACAAAATATTTTGGAAACTAGTCATAGAAAATGTATTAGTAAATAGTATATTTAAAAGTTAGTCTGAAAATAGCTAAATGTGAGCTGAAACTGTCAAAGATTTACTGAATAATTTCTTCAAAGTATAACAAAACAATAGGCTAAATAGAAAGTAAAGAAGAATACATAAAATTTAGCCCAAAAGTTAGATAAAAAAGGTTAACATTTTCAGGTCAGTAAACCACTAATTTGAATGTATCATAGTGGTATTTAACAGTGTAATAGTTAAAAAAAAAAATCAACTTTAAGTCTAAAAACGTACCCTTTTTACCAGAATCGGCCAAAAAAAAAAAAAAAAAGTTTGAATTGACACAAATGTTAAAGATAGACTTTAACATATTTATATAAATTGAGCTAATATTTTCATTCGAAACATTTTTTTGTCAAAAGCCTCAACAGTAAAAATTGACATTGTTTAATTAAATGCTCAATGGAAAATGTGTTCTTTTTTTAGTCTAGAGTAATATAAAGGCATCTGAACTTCTTTTCTGTGTGTTTTTCTATATTTTTATAACTCTGTAGATAAATGCTAGCTCTCAATGTTACTCAAATAATTTGAGGCTCATTCAGTCTCATTGGAAGAAAATCTGTTGTCAAGAAACCATCTTTGGTTTGATGTGTTTTTTTTTCCAACAAATACAGTTCAACATCCTCTGTGTGTGTGTGTGTGTGTGTGTGTGTGTGTGTGTGTGTGTGATGTTTTCAGGTGGTGTCCTTGTTGCTCTGTCAAGGTGCCGATCCAAACGCTCGAGACAACTGGAACTACACTCCGCTTCACGAAGCTGCCATCAAGGGCAAGATTGACGTCTGCATAGGTGAGTGCACAAAAACAGCCACAAGGTGAACGTTTCTTGGCTCTTCACTGGAAAGTCACTGGATGATAACGATATGAGGTTTTTTATGTTTTTCACTGAAATCACTGTTTGTTGAATTTACCTTCCCATAGTTTTTAAAATGGTCTAAACACAATTTTCCTTTGGCAAGAAACACCACTAGATAGGCAGTTCTACTCACATTTAGGACCTGAATTAGATATGTGTAAACTAGTGTGGGCACATTACAGTGGTGTGAGAGGTCATTGGTTGAATCATGGAAAGACATCCGTTTTGACTTGGTGGGAATTTCTTACATTTATTTACTTCATACAATTTGTCTCTGTTAATTTATCTGTCAGTGACAGTGACAGAGTATGAAATACTCTTCCACTAGGTGGCAACAAAGGGTTATAGAAACAACAAAAAAAAGAGAGCCTCAGGGCTGTTGAAGAAGATCTGTGTGTCTTTCTTCAATTCCTGCTAGTTTGTCAGTGTTCAGTTCACACTGAGTGAGTAAAATGAACTTAGAAGATCAATTTATTTCATTATAGGTCTTTATAAGTCTAATTACAGAGTCATTTCACAAACAATAACCACAAACAAACAAAACCAAAAACCTCCAACAATTGTTTTTCATTAGGGCATGAAGCAGCAAACAGCCTGGACTTCCGAATCACTGTGTTCTCCTGTTTATTCCTGAGACCACGCTAGGGATGGAAGTGCATTGATTTCTTTGCCATGCAATAAATGAGCATCCACTGACGTCGCTTTGAATTAAAAAGTGAAAAAAATGAAAAAAAAAACACCAAAGGCAGAGCTTAAAAGGGGCAGCAGAGTGATGCCAAGGTAAGAAGCGATGTAGTCTTTAACTGTGGCTGCAGCCGCTTAGTTAGATCATAAGAACACATATCTAGTTGTGCTGTGAATGACAGCAATTTAACTATGACATGTCAATATACCAAGTGTGCCAGATGTTAACATGTTGACAAAGGTCCTGTGGTACCATCTCAAATATTTTCTTGACAAGTTATTAGCTAAGTTCTAGCTTTGTTGCTACGTAATAGTTAGCCGTAATATTATTTGTTTCCTTTTATCTGAAGTGACATACATTTGCTCTCTCTCTCTCTCTCTCTCTCTCTCTCTCTCTCTATACACTGACTTATTTTGCTTGTTGTCCTCCTCCTGCTAAATGACACATCTAAACATCGTAGAAGCCAGAAAAAGGTCAAATAGTCCAGACTGTCGGTCAGGAGATCAAAGACATCCCAGGCGTGGCCTTTGCCTGTCATTCACTGTGACATTCTAAACCAGATGAAATGATTGATTCCTGGGTGGTGGTGGGTCCTGCACTCATACGTCTGTCCTGTGTGAGCAGAAGTCCTGCATAAAACATGTGGTCTGACCTTGGCACTGCAGATCTCTGTAGTTGACAGCATGCTTCTCTCCATCAAAACCGACCTGTGCAGACTATGGAAGAATAATCTTTGTGATCTTAATAGAAAAGTTTGGAGAGAATAAAAATATTACAACAATCAGCAGTGACTTCTGTTAAAGTCCTGGTTCTTTAGTAAACGACGGAGAACTTGCTCATTTTTATGTCTTCCGCAACCACTGATTCTATTATCATTCTGTAAATGAATCTTTGTTATCAGTGAACGGGGAAGTGATTGATTTATGACTGTTTGAAAATTAGAGTTGAGCAATTTAGCAACTTTGACGTCTCAGCGTTTGTTGTAGTTTCACAATGAGAATAGATTGATTTTGGAATGAATTTAAAGTTGCTAAAGATACTATTTAAAGTTACAGGGTGCAGAATATGTTCATTAGCACGTGGCTTTTTCTACTTGCCACCTGCAGGTGATGGTGTTAGTGTGGTCTTATGACCTCGTCCTTGAGCTGAATGCAGTGGGACAACACTTGATTGAAATATATCCCTGTATCTCTATCTACTCACGGATACTCAGTGCATTAGGCTAGCAGTTGCTCATGGGATGTAACTTCAATCATGCCTGACATAATTACAAAATTGTAACCTTTGACATGAATTTTATTTTGAGATTTATAACTAAAAGGTCAGTCTCCTCCTCTGAGTCCTTTAAAGACAAAGTACAAGTACAGAAGTACCATTGGACCTGCACTACAACATGCCAGCGTACACGTGAGGTAGCCTGTCAACAATTTACTGCTCTTGCTGTTATTCTAGGCAGGTGGTTTTTAAATAACAGGAACAGTTTCAAAAAGGAAGTTGTGATAAATATGGTGGGCCGTAAAGATACGAAAGGAATTCTGTACTGGCTGCAAACCACCACTGGCCAGCAGGGTTTGAGTTGGTTACCAAAAATATTATTTATATTTTTCTTGCTCTAGTTATTTTGGTACCATTACAGAGATTTCTCTGAGGGCCACACAGTGGAAGAGTGGTTCTGGGTCTTACTTGTTATCAAGGTGGTTTGATCCCTGTTTTTCTTAGGTTGCTCTGTACCATGCTGAAGTCCAAATGCTGTCCCTCCCCTCTCCCCTGCTGGCCCACACTCACATTACCCAGAATGCCAGCATGACATGTCATCACATTGACATACAACATACGTACGGCGCGACATCACTATAAAGTGACTGTTGTTTATATAGGCGGTTACAGGACTTTCTGACATAAATGGCATTTTATAAAATATTAGTCATTTAAAACCACATCCAGGTGCTTGGTTTGCTGTCGGTAAAATGACTGACAATCGGCAAACTTTAAGCCTTGGAAAAACTGCACTGCATAGGCAATTAGAGTTTGAGACTTGGCCCACATGCCACGAACCGCTCTGCCGTAGAGAGATGTTTTTTTGGATAAACAGTAGCAGCAGCAGGTCATTCAGTGGATGTGTTTGCTGCCAGAGTTTTCATAAACACCCCATTAATTACTTATGCTTCTGCATCAGTGTATACAGTGAAGGACACACAGTGTAGATAAGCTGTTTTTATACACAGCCCCGATTGGCCCAGCAGACAGAGCGATAGCGTGCTGTCACAGTGCAGCATTTTTTGGCCTGCAGAAATAACAGCGTAATAACTTTTTCTGAAGCAAGAAAGTGATAAATGTGACTTCTTCTAAAGGTTCAGAGGGTAAATATTTTTAGGTCCCATTTCCAATTTGTGGGGAAATTTTAAAAGCGGACTTACTGATTGCTCCCATATTTCTCCGGCTGCCCCGTGGCACAGTGAGAAACAGCAGTAGACATTTCCACTTATCGTTTCCTCAGGTCCAGCTTCTGAGCATCCTTGACCTCTGACCTTGGCAGCAAGAGCAGTTCTCTGCATGCTTTTTAGCGACATGGATTAAAAGGCGCTGCAGACGCCAAGTCTCCGTTTGATGATTAGCTGTATTTTACACATCTCCGCAGGTTTAATCTTCATTAAAAATGTTTAATTTTTCAGAAGAATCCAATAATCTTTGAAAATACATCCTTTTTAGTAAGTAGGCAGTGCAGAAAATATTTTTAATGAATAAAATTAATTTCTTATTTATTTCAATTTGACCAATGATTTATTATATTATTATTGTATTATTTTACTTAGCTTTTGCTAAGTAAAGAAAACAAGACTTTATTGTTTTTGTTTTGTTTAAATTTAAAAGGAAACCATGGCTTTTCCTAGAACTAGACGTTACTAGAGGTTGGATAGTGCGGTTATAACACCTGCTTTACACATCTGCCTTACACACAGAAGGTCCTGGGTTCAAGCCCCAGAGGAGCCACATGTTTAATGACGCCACTCGTGGCAGCAAAGACTCACACTGTGAATTTCCCCTTTGTGAGACAAATAAGGAGATGTTTGCTTTACTAAATTTACTTCATTAGATTTACTAAAGTTACATCACAGGTTTGGTCAGCTGTCACCCATCCCAACAGGGTTCCCACACGTCCCGGAAAACCTTGAGAATGCATGAGCAGTTATGCTGTTTTGGAAAACAGAAGTCCAAGTGGAATATTATTTCTCTTTAGTGTGATTGAATCCAAAATTAAATCCAAGATTAAAGTCACGCTGATTCCATTGGGCCTTATTGAACTTTTCACTTTTCTACTTCCTGCTCTTGCATTGCCCCACAAATGATTTTGTGTGACCTCAGAGCAGCTCTTTAGTTATGTAGGTTTGTAGGTTTGACTCGGTCTGAACACTTTTCAGACCTAGCATTGGTCCTGACGCAGACTGTTTTGTCAGTGAGTGGTTTTCTGTCCTGGAGTCACAGGTTCTGTCTTTGTAGTCTATTGAAAACATGAACACAGACTAAATCTGTGAAAGAGTACAAAATACATGGTACTACAGTAGAAAAGCACACCTTAAGTATAAGGACAGATAATAAGTATTATTGTATGATAGTACCAGGTATCTGCAGACTAGAACGTCTTATTTCCTCTGTGAATATCTGACCAGCGTCTATAAGGAAACTTCAGGGGAAGAACATTTTGGAGACTAGAATACAAAAACCATTTTTCGTCGATAGAACTTCTGTACACACTTAAACGGTGTCCCTATTTCCCCTCTGTTAAGTTTAATTGGTTATTATTATTGTGGCAATAACCCACTGAAACCATGCAAATCTCATCAAAGTTGACATGAAGAAACATAAAAGTTGATGAGATGGAAAAATGAGTTCATATTTTTGAATCATCATGTTTTAGTTTATATTACTTTAAAGTTGGTTTCCTCTTTCTTCTTCTCTGCTTCGACTGAGAAAGATATGGATGAATACAACAATCATGGAACATAAATAGAAGTTTACTACAGTTTAAAAAATGACTGTTTTGAGCTGTGCATTTGCAATTGCAAGTAAAGGATTTATTCCTAGTTATATTTCACACAGAAAGGCTAAATAGGTCATTTAGGAAATTATTCTAATCAAATTTACAACAGATCATTTTCCAGGACAGTTGATTGTCTTCAATGATAGTCAAAGGATTTTTTTTTAAATGTGGTCATGTGACTGTCAGTAAAAAGAAAATGACATAGGCTCTTTAAGGACGCCCTTGATAGAACCCGTGGGTATTTAATGTGTTTTTCATCCCGACCTCTCCAAGGGGGGAAAAAACCTCACACACATTAGCAGTGTTTTCAGCCTTGTAGTCATGACCCCACAAGGGGTCGCCTTGAATTCAAATCGGGTCACCTAAAATGTGTAAGTATTGATAAAAAAATTACTAAAATATTTTCGACTAATATTAATCTTTTTGTAATTAGTATTTAACACCACACAATCTGAATTAATTGTGTTCTTTTACTTTCATGAATATAAAGCAAGTATATATAAAATGCAGCAAATAAAAAATATATGAGCTGCCACATCTTGATTAATGGCTGCGATCATGTGACTGAAAAAGAAATGCCCCTGTCCATACAGAACAGGTATCTTATAGTTGTTTTATTCACCGAGTGTCAAAATGAAGGTGTTTCCTGTGGAATCAGATTGTCAAACTGACAAACATAACTAAATAATTTGACCTGGATTTAGTAGTAAAAATAATTTTTGGCTAATTTGAATAACGTCACCTGATTCCTGTATCTGTGGTAAAAAAGCAGCCAACTGTCTTATGAACCGTAAAGTCAAATTCCTGGTTTTAAAGTTCGTAAGACACAGTGAAAATGTGGTCCAACGTTGTGATTAGTGTCGGACTCGAACACAAAAAACGCGTAGTGCCACTTAATGTTGTGTGGGATGGATGCAGAGCTAAACGCTGTCTTTGTGGAGTGGGTGAGTCAGGCGTATGTTTGTCAGCACCAGCACATGTGAGTTCACACGCACGTCTGGTGCTTGTGCGTGCACCTGGATATCGGCTCCTCTGGTTGATGTGCTGTGGGTTCAGCCGAGACGTTCACCAAAGTCAGAGGGCATGTGCACGGCAGCAGTCACAATAGTGGGAACTGAAATAGAGAGGAAGTCAAGTAGAGTGTGACACTGCTGCCCCCACAGGAGCTCATTTACAGGCAGAGAGTGTAATTCAGCTCATACCTGTGTGAAAGTCACATGATCCTCCTCCTCCTCCTCCTCCTCCTATCCTCCTCTCCTCTTGTGTTTTGTTTTTTTTCTCTCCCTCCCTTTCTTTCTTTCGCCCTCTACTTCTCCCATCCTCTCTCTAACTCTCCTTCTCACCATCCCAACCTTCCTCCCCTCCCTTCCCCTCCTCACTCATCTTGCTCTCTGCTGCATCGCTCAGTCAGTTGGAGAGGCGAGAGTCTCTCCACTCGCACAGCTTGCCCCCTTCTGCCGCTGCCGCTGCCGATGCTGCCGCTGTTTGTACGAGCTGTAGCCCGTCGACTCTCTCTTCCTCACACACTGTTGTTTTCTTTTCCAAGCTGAAGCCAAATATCTGCCCATCTCGCTCCATGGGAGTAGGATGTGTTCTGTAGCCAGTCACGTAGCCCATCTGTCAGCTCCTCTGTGTGTTTGTCATCGTAGCCCTTCGCAGCTCTACTTGTGACATGTCTGTTTACATCAGAGGCATGGCTTGCAGGGCAGGGGCAGCCAGGGGCAGCCAGGGGAGCAGCGCTAGCAACAGAGGAGGAGAGAGATATGAAGCGGGACTCGCTGAAGGGCTGCCAGAGGAGTCGGGATATGGAACTAGAAGAGGAGAATCAGGGGGGATAGCAGGGGTGCAAGTGGGTGAAAAAGGTCCAGGAAGAGCACTTTACGGAGCAGGATGTGGTTCAGTAGCAGCAGCAGCAGGAGGAGGAGAAGGAGGAGGAGCTGGAGGAGGAGGAGGACTTAGAGGAGCAGTTTGTCGGGGAGTTTGTATGTCAGTTCAAGAGCTCAGCTACTGTTTGTGTCTGCCCTGTTGTTGTACAGTGTTACTGCAGCATGGAGCCGACCCCAATATCCGCAACACTGATGGCAAGTCTGCGCTGGACCTGGCTGAACCTTCTGCAAAGGCGGTGCTTACAGGTCAGTTTTCTTTCCTCCAATATAAATGTGTTTCTCTGTGTTCACATCGTACTTGTCCTCAGTTTTCATGTTTGTCTGTCTTTTCCACTGAAGCTGCACTTTTGTGTCCTGATTCACATTTTGTCCACAACTTTAAGACTGCTGGCTGTGGTTGAACTCATTGATCGGCTGCTCAATAAACAAAGTATTTGTGTTGGGTTTTGGTTTCCTTGCCTTTATTTTTTTTTCTTTGATTTCTTTCTTGGTTTCCGTCACGTTTGCCCTAAAAAAAAAAAGCAATCGTTGACGCAGCAAACCTCATTAAAGGAAGTGGAAACTGTTGTCGTGTTGCAAAGGTTAAGCTCTGGCTGCAGCTCCTGATGTTTAGTGAGTCTCTAGTTCTGGTCTGTCTTAAAACAGACTTCAAGACTCAATTAGATTTTTTTCCATGTTGTATAAAGACTCTAACCATGAACTATATCTTCTGATGTTTGTAAGAACTCTAGCAGTAGCATCTGCGATCACTGGACTCTTGGCAAACTTGTACGTTCGGTAATTACCAACATTAATCATAGTTAAGAGTTGTAAAGCGTTACAGTAGCTCCAATAGTTCTTTAAAAGAACTTACCTTCTGTGAATTGCTCCCACCAAGTCCCTTACTTTAACCTCTTTCCAAGAGTCTCACTCTTGGAATTATGATTTCCTTTTACTTCCCATAAATCTCTAGTTTCAGAGCTTAGCATAGCTTCATTAGTGTGTGAATCTCATGATGTGACAGTAGAACCTTGTGGTTTTAAGATAATTATTAAAACCATTGTCATGACATGTTGGTATTGTAAAAAAAATCACAAGTATATTGGCTTGTTTTGTTTGATCTCTGATGAAGTGGCAAGCTTAGCCCACATGACCTCATTAGGGTCCACCTTGTGACCCATCTTTTCCAGCAGATTCCCGTCCAGCCCATGATTTCGGCCAGATATCCCATTAAAGCCTCTGAGCATTTATTCCAATATGAAAACTCTGCCATTGGTCATCAGTATTGTCATATATGAGACAGTTACATAGTCGTCAACTGCTAAATACACTGTAAAGTTGGGCCTTAACCAGTCTGGTCCAGACCAATTCCTGATCTAACCTATTCGCTACAATCTTTATCCTTATGGTCTTTGGTTGGATAGCAAAAACATACAGGCCCACTGGGCAATGGGTTGAGGAGCTTCTCTTTTCCAGATGTCCAGTTACAATTCCAAGTGCTCATGTGTGAGTGAGCCAGACTTTAACTTTAAAAATCTAGGTGATGCCACAACTTCAGATAGTACACTGTGGCGACCACTGTAGCAGATGGCACTTAAAAATGGGTTCTTCTTCGACATTTTACCATTAGCTTCCATTATATAGAGACCATTGTCTCCTGACAGTCAAGGAAACACTATCATCATTATTACTGCCGCCGGCATCACTGTTATTGTCCCACATGGACTAAAATGATAGTAGATTCTGCAGGGCTAGTATTAATGTCTCTCAACCTAAACCACTTAAATCTATTTTCATTCCGAGCTTTAATTGATCCGTCTATAAATATTCCTTCTTTCCATTGGTTTTGTTAATGCCCAAACAGCAAGGAGACAAAAGGAAAACATGACCTTGTAAAAGTCATATAAAAGTTGTGGTGACCAACATTGGAGACAGATGTACACAGTGAATCTCAGACTAATTTACTAGGCCTATTATTGTGACGAGCTATTAAAGGCAGCAGGACACCTGTTCACTGGCAGGAGCCGGTGGGACTGCTGCGTATTTGCTTTGAAATTAAAAGCTAATTAAAAACGTGCAACATCACATACAGATCCAGTCCAATTGATTTTATATATTTTTATATATATGTTTCATTTATTGTTATTATTTCATTTTTAGTTATTTATTTTATTGTTTAGCTACTGCGTTAGCAATCCTAGCTGCTTTAGCTGTCTTTCATTAGAAATGTAGCCTTGAAGCCCACGCACTGAGAACCTCTGAGTCAATCTCTTTCCAATGCTCCCGTCTGCTTTTGTTGGGATCTTTTAGTACCATTGACCACACTTGAGAATCATAAGACGTTCTTGTATTCATTTGCCAAAACTGCTCAAAAGTGAATTCAATTTCTTGTTCTATTCGTAGAAAGAAATTAGAAGTGTAAACACTGCCTAGGTTTGCCACCTCATGTTATTGAAAAAGACAAGTGGAACTGATGTAAACAGTTCCTCTACCAACTGGGAAACGGTTTAAATAAAAGTTCATTTGAAAGTTTCTGTTTTCTCAACAAACCCTTCAGGTCTCACAGGGATTGTTCTAGCATTTTAGAAAGCCTGTTAGTTTGTATTAATTCTTCAACCAGTGGAACTCGTTCCTGGAGGTAGTAAACATTTTGACATTAGCAAGACTTATTTTTCTATTGCACTAATGCCTAATGTTTGCTATGCAGAAGGTATAATGATCCTAGTGGGCCAGACCACTTCATGGACTGCTCCTCTGGTGACCCCTAGTCAAAAGGTTTTGGCCAAAAGTTTCACTGTTTGTTTGGTTGGACAGTTTGATTTTCAAAAATAGCAAGAGCAATAAAAATCAGCAAGTTCTCTGACCAATAGGGAAGGCATGCGCTGCAGGTTCAGCACCAGGTTTTCCTTTTATTTTCCAGTTTTCTTCCTTCCAGAGCAGGAACTATTTAACGATACCTCCACCTTGTCCTAGTGGTGAAAGTGCATGCATTTCTTCAATCACTCCCAAGTTTCTGATCAAAGTTCTTGTGCGTCAGTACTACTTTGTTTGCTTCCCCGTTCTCCCCAGATATAAAACGTTGAGTTACTGTGGGATTAAATTTGTCCTTGTTTGCAGAAGTGCTGAAGTAAAGAGTGTTTTTTATTCAAATGCCTCTCACTGTCTCATCAACGCCGGTTCTAAATCAGTTTTTCGCAGCACCACATCTGTGTTTACACGGTGTTACATCATCAATTCTCCCTGTTTGGCCACAGTTCTGTGATGAGATAACCCTCCAGATAAGTGGAGCTGTGCGATGTTGAAACAGGAGTGGGAATTTCACTGCAGCCGCTCAGTGAAAAATGCTCATCCTCCCCCGGTAGAATTAAAATGAGGTTGTTTGCTGCTGGGATTATCGAACACTTGCTTGTGTTTGTCACAATTAAAGTCCTCACCCTGTCACTGTGTCAAACATGGGGCAAATTTTACTGTATAGTTGTCATGGAGCCGTAATTTATGGGCAGTAAAAATGAAAGATCTTGCAGAGGCGTACTTTAATTGCCCCCAGTCTAAATGTGATAGAAAATCGCTCTGCACACTTAATCAAATGTGTGTATATATAGAAAGTAATAACTCAATGCAGCTAAAATTGTAACTAAGTTTAATTAAATAATATTAGTGAGGAAAAAAACAGGATCCAGTCCATGATTTATAATTATAGTTAAGAAGTTTTTTTCAAACTTTTCTCAAAGTACATTTTAAGAGTGGTTATTATCACAAAGGTCAATGCCTCCTCTCTGTTATGAGTAAATCTATACATAAAATATTAAGTCAACAAGAACTTGAAAATGAAAATGATGACCAATTTTTGGCGTGGATAAATATTTCAGCTTTTCTTATTATGTTATCAATCAAATATAACAGACAGAGACAAAAAGATTAAAAATAGCTATGAGTAAAAAAATGAATATGTGGTATCAGATAGCTGAGTCAGAAAATGAATCATTAAAAATTAGCATTGTGGTACGAAGACTAAGATTACTTGAAAGTACTACCTACAAATATCTACAAAGCTTTTATAAAAGAACGAAAAGAAAAAATTAAAATATTTGATTTGAACAGTTAATTTTCTCAACTAATAGTATTTTGTAAAGTAAAAAAGAAATGCAGCCTCATGAAACCCAAACCAAGGGCCATAATTTGCCCCTGGCCAGAGTTTTGACACGGTTGGAGTAACTTAAATATGGATAACTCTCATTAGTTGGTCACAAAATAGTAATCACAGCCAGAAAATGGTGTATAAAACCCACAGAAATTGTCCGCATGTTGAAAATTTAATGAGAAGGTGAACGCTGAGACATTTCCTGCAAATGTTCTTCCCACTTCCAGCTTCTGCTCCTTCACACACAGGGCCCTACAGAGGCGTTGGACTGAAAATTAGCAGTTAACAGGGAAAGTAGTTGATCCGTAACAGAGCCACCCTGACTCTCTGCTTCATCATGGCTTCCTTTTCCCCTGCAGTGATTGCGTTCAGAGCTGACAAAATGTGCAGCTTCTTGTTAGTTACACAAATTGTGCTTTTCTAATGGCCGGCACTAATCACCAAAACTACGGTGCAGCCTGTTCACCCAGTGCTGTACTGTTAAGCTAACTGTTTAGCTAATTTAATGTTCTCGTATGCTTCTGTAGAGACTTTTGCCAATGATACAGCTAATTTAATGTTCTCGTATGCTTCTGTTGTTGTATATATAACAAAAGCATATATATATATATATATATATATACATATATATGTATATATATATGTATATATATATGTATATATATATGTATATATATATGTATATATATATGTATATATATATGTATATATATATGTATATATATATATGTATATATATATGCAATGTGATATCCATTGAATCCATTGACGTGAATATTAAGGTCCTTCTTCTGTGCCCAGTCACTTCTTTGCAGATGATTTACAGGTTATTTCCCTCATTTCTGCTTCATGCCAGTGCAGCTTTGAGCCTCAGTCTGTGGTGATGGAAGTTTATATTGAGCCATAAATTAGCTGCTTGGCTGCTCTGCCACATCCAACAAGCTGCTCGTAGAAATGACTCCGTTCCTCCTTAAGCAGTGGATGTGATGGGGAATGGCACGTAATATTTTATTTTGACTCGGACTCAAGGCCTGTCATGTCAGTTTAATGAATGAACTTTGTTTGTTTTAGTGTTGTTTGTTCTGAGTGTTGAGAAGGTGTTTGTCATGTAGTTTGTTGTCCTGGT